AGTAATATGCTATTTTATTGAAACAAAAATGTAATTAATTTTTTTCTCAAAACGTAAAATAATTATGTTTTTTGTTTGAATATAGGATAGAGAAAATACTTTTGTTTAGTTGTGTTTTTGGTTTCCTTCACAACTATATTTGTCTCAGTAGACTCGTTGACCAAATTTTATGTGCTGTCAACAATTTTTTTTTCAGATTTCTCAAAAGAAACGCTCTATCTCTCCCATGTTTTAGATAATCCTCCGAAACCCTTAAAAAATAGTCCGTTCCTTACATTACCGTTTCGATAAGGAATCTCAAAGAAGCAATAAAAGAAATTATCTGAATTCCTGCACAACAATCGCGTTCAGGTATAAAAATGCGACTCCTCAGTCCAGTTGATGCCATAAAAATTATAAGAGCACTTGATCCGATTACCATAAGGAGTGTTCACTGATCCGTTACTCTATAATCCGTGGGCAACATTTCCAAAGCGAATAAAACAACGTCAAATGTTTTACGAGACGTACTTATGCATCACAAGATGATGATGCATCGAACCAAGAAACTACAAGAAAATCAATTACCCGAAAGTATAAGAATCGTGTATTGCTTTTTTTCTTCAATATAGAAACATTTCAGAAACTTGATAATGTAGTAAATAAATGATTAAATTTACTGAAGACTTGTCTTTTGGTTTGATGTGTCACAGGGTTTGGAATAAGGGCCTTTTTTAATTTTAATGTATGCTATTGTTCCAACTCAAATGATATATCCAGAATTATTTTGTGAATGTTCCTACAGTTTCGAAAAATATATAAGAAGTCAGACATATCAGATGAAATGATTTATTCATTTATTTATTTGATACACTATTCTACAGGATGAACCCAATGGAAAATGGCCAACATAGTTGCCTTGCCGAAGGTGAACCAACCAAAAGACTTCAATCACCTCAGATCAATCAGTATTCTTCATACTCTGTCCAAAGTTCTAGAAAAAGTTATGGAAATACAAATAACGGATGACATTATCAAAGGTATTGATGAAAATAAAGCAACTGTACTCATCCTACTTGACTTTTCAAAAGCATTTGATTTGATAAACCACATAATTCTCTAAACTTCACTACTTAAAGTTTGGCCAAAATGATTGCAAACTTATTACTTCATATTTATCAAATAGACTTCAACGCGTTACTCTGAATGATAAAACTTCTAATTTTGCTCATGTATCATGCGGTGTTCCTCAGGGTAGTATTTTGGGTCCACTTCTGTTCACCTTATTTACTGCAAGCAGGCAGAGGATTTCCCATAAAATTAAAGAAATTGAATGGCTCAATATGTCCAACAGGCGTAAATTACAAGACATATTCTTTGCTACTTCTACAAACTTTTGAAATCAAACAACCCAACTATCTCCATGATAAAGTCATATATAGAAAAGACATACATGATAAAAATACTCGACAAATACACCATTCCTCGACATAGAAAGGAAATTTTCAAACGTAGTTTTTCATATAATATTGCTAGTTATATGAATACGTATAAGATAACGGACTACAGTAGGTCGTGTTTCTCTTTGTAAAAAGCCATGACTGTATGTTTACGTAAACTACAAAAATGAAATATAATTGAAAATATCTCCTAACTCAGAGCAAAAAACTAAAATTCTCACAGGGTCGTCATGCAACCTGGTGGTTTCATTACCTAAAGGAAGCACTGCCCTCACAAGTGAAAATAAATTATAAAAAGGGTTCCTATCTTTTCTCTGATAACGTCAATATCTTCAACTACTGCAAAATGGAGGAACTTTTAATAATTACCTGAATAGATTGACATTTAACTACATAATATGAGGTAATAAGCTTGAGATCAGTTCAGAACATGCTCGAAATGGTTGCCTTGAACTTCCTGATTTTTCCCGCCCAACATTTTCGAACAAAGTAACGTTAATATCTCTACAAATATTTATTATTCTCTGCCGTATATCCAATGTTGAAGCAGGTTCAATTTCATACACCTTTTGCTTCAAATAGCCCCAAGAGTCAAATCTGGCGAGCGAGCTGGCCATTCTGTAAGACCTCGACGGCCAATCCAATGACCGAGAAAAGTAGTATACAAATAGTTTCCTACTTGTCTGGAGTAATGTGGTGGTGCTCCATCTTGTTGGTATGCAATATCCATATCGAATTCATTAGGATTCGTTTCGACGATTTCAGTGATGAGAAGGTCAACAGTACTTTCCAGCATATTCAAATACAGTGCCTCTGTTAAATTTCGATCAATAAATAGAGGTCCTATAATATGATTTACCAATGCTCAGGATATCTTATTGTTCAGGATTTGCCAGAAATATCTCTTGATTCACACAATTATACACTTGTGAAAGATCATGAAGAACTGCTGCATAGATCGTGTCATTAGAATTACAATTTTTCAAACCAAAGTATTGATGAAATTTAACACCTGCTCAGTTGAATTTTTTAATGGTGCAGGTAAAAAATTGCAATTGTTATTAACAAAATAAGATTAAAAAAATGGTACTTAGTTTTTCGTTAATAACTCAAAAAATGTTGATATTTAGGCAATTTTGAAAAAAGCTCGTTGAAAAGGAGGAAATTTTTGATAAAAAAGTCTTACAAGTGAACTCATTTCAAAAATCCCATCAGTCATGGTCAAGCCTTCCCTAAATTCTTGTCGATAATTGTTCGATTGACCTGAGGAAGAGAACATCACCTAACGGAATGCTGTCAGTAGCGTAACCGAATCTCTTTCGTGACACTAAAACTAAGTAGATTTGTAAACACGGTAAGTCTGCAACGGTAAATTGAGAAAACACTGCGACTCCATGGATTTCATTCGATGATTCAGATAATTGCGAGTCTGCTTGTCTGTGCGAAATTGGAACGTGTCAGTTCAGGCCTTTTAGTGGAACAAAATAGATGAACAATGGAAAGAAGAAGATGGTTTGGTTGATTCGGCAGTCGTTAACATACAATATGTTATTTTCCTGTTAAGGAAATGATGAGAACATGGTTTTCGTCTGAACGAATTACACAGTACTAATTACAAAAGATGATTCCAAGTATAATCAAACAGAAGCTAACAAAAGCACAGCTTTTCTGCTGCGTTATTCCAAAATGAAATCTTTATTCGGGGTTTGCGAACATTCCAAATGAAATATTACTTTTCCTTTGATCAGTAGGTTTGTGGTATTTTTTTAAGGACACAACACTTCAGCAACTTCAGGGTATGGTTGGGGGGCAGAGCTTCATACATCATATTTGATGAAATTCCTGGTCTTGTTATAAAAAACGTTGCCAATGTAATTTCTGAGCCTTTGACTAATATAGTTGACTCCATTTTCATAGAGGGAAGGTTTCCTGATATACTGAAAATGTCAAAGTTTTGCCAATATTTAAAAATAAGGGCTCGAGATCTAACTGTGCATCTTACAGGCCTATATCGCTAGTTAGTCAGTTTTCTAGATTATTGAATACTGTTTTTATTAAAGATTATATGACTACTTTGAATCATTCAGATCATTTTCTTCTAGTCAGAATGCTTATAGAAGAAATAAATCCACAGTTGGTGCAATTGATCAACTCATTAAACATGTGTTGGAAATCTTGGAAAACAAACAGCAGACTTCTGATGAAGTGTTTGTTATTCAGAAAAAGGTAATCAGAATTCTGGCTGGGGCATTTTCAAGTGCAAACTGCAGGCCATTATTCATTCGTTATAGTCTATTAACAATGCCTAGTTTATATATTTACCAAACTCTGATATATATAAGAAACAATATTTCAATTATTCCTA